GTCAACAAGAATTTATAAACATTGAATGGGTATCCTTCATCACATCTTTTTTTCTGGTTAAAATGTCTATTTAAAATGATCATTTATTATTATTATTTTTTTTTGGTTTTCATGTATTTAAGCAGAAAGCTACGGTAAGTGCACACACACAAATAAGCTTGATGATTTTTGTAATGCTATTACATCCATTATAGCAATTCACTTTCAAAGAATAATAAAATACTTTTTGTTCCTTCTAAATTATCGGTTTAATCATTTGTGTTAAAGGGCAAAACTGTCATCTTTTTTTGGTTGATGATTTTTATTATGTGATTACATCCATTTAGATCAAGTGCAATGTCATCAATCTTTTAAAACATTGTTTACGAATTGTTAATGTGTTCTTTAGATTCAACACCAATTAAGTGAATTTTGTTATTTATTTTTTATATTAAGTCATTTATTATGTATTATTGTTTATCTAAGTAATCAGCCCCCGGAAATACACGGGTTTCACCTAGTATATATATATGTCTTTCGTTACCATCACCTTCTTAATTATTTATCTCTCTCTTGTACTTCAACTTTTGGTAGTTGTTGTTGAAGAAGTTTATACGATAACAGGTTCGTCATGTTACTTAAATTTTAATTGACATATTCAAGAGAGCTATAAAAAATCCTTCAGATGATAATGCTTTGCATTTTTTAAAGAAGGAAGAAAGGGATATTTGCATATGTAGTGCTCAGTAAGGAAGGAAAATTGAGTAAGATCTACTTCGATTTTTCTATTTGTGTCCTGATTCCGATTTTGGTTATATCCATCGACTTTTACTGGTTCACATGTTTAATTTTTGATATTTTAACAACTACATGATTTTTTTTTCCTTCCAGTATTCCCTTTTTTGCTATAGTTTTAAGGGATTTGTATAAGTTTGTAGCATATTGTTTTTATTGCAAGTAAATTATGAGGTTGTTATGCTTTTCTTTTGTGTTTACCATTATGTCATGAAATAGATCACAATAATTAGTCTTAATTTCTTAATGGAGACTTTTGTTTGATGGTGTTTGACGGTTGTCCGATGAAAGTTCCAAAAAGATCACAATATTATGGAAAAACGGTAAAATCATAAATATACATCCTTCTTGTCATCCTTATGGTTTGGGTTTTAGAGATTATGTCTTGGGATTGAGGATTAATGTTTGGATTTCATGTCTTATGAGATGATGTCAACCCATCATCATCGATTGGTATAAATTTCCTTTATAATTTCATATAAAAGAGTTCTATTGAGTTTATGCTTGATCAAATGTATTAAGTTTTGATTATGGTAAATGTAAGATGCTTTTACACCAATGTAAATCCTATTTTATGTTCTTATTGCAACATAGTCTTCTACAGTGTGTTTGTAAGGTATATTTCTTGAGTGGTAACCTCTATGACTCTTAATTGTCTAACAAACTTGGATGGATTTTTTGTGCACAACAAGTGTTCGATAAAATGCCTCGAAATCACTTTTATTAATTTACAGGTTCTTTAAGTTTCTTCAACTCACATGTTGGATGATATTGCAGTAATTTTAATCTGGCAATAGAAATAGCTAAAAAAGATTGGGTTAAAATAGTAATGTACTTTCTTTACAACAACTTTTATTTTACTTTGAAAATAGATTTGTTTTGGTTTATATATTAGCTATATGGTGATTTTTTTGCTCTGATTTAGTTCATAATCTTGAACCACGTTTAATTTTTTTTTTATTGTTTTCCGACATTTAGGCCTAAATCAATTTTGGTTGCTTAAACTAGGTTTGCTGTGAGTTTTTGATGGGGCTTTATAAGGTACACATCAATTTGTGATTACTTTCCCTGTAAGTTCTTTAATCGTTGTATTTTGGGGTATTATTATGATTAGTAATTTTATTCGGTATGTTATTTTATTTATTTATGAAAATGGTGAACGAATAAAATGAGGTTTTCACATCTAAGGCAACAGTGAAAACCTAATTTGACATTCTTCCTCGTGCAAAACAATCTTTGGGTTAAATGGTTTGAGCTTTCATATTGCTTCATTTTTCACAATGGTGTGTCTTTTTCTATGTTTTCTATTCTACCCTTGAAGCACATAGGATTCCGAACCATGCCCTTTTCACCCCTTTAATTACCGACCAATGCATGGGCAAAAGGAGATTAGTTTGTTTTTAATACATATTGCCTTTAAAATCCAAATTTGGATATGTTTGGAAGAGTTATTAAAGAAATCTATAAGAATTTGCAAATAAATTCTAAGTTAAAGTCTCTTTCACTGCCCTTAGAGTTGTGTGTATAATGAATTAGTTATAAACATATACCACGTAATAACATTTTGGCTCATAATGATAATATTGTTTTTCAATTATTTTAAATGACCACCAAAGAAATCAAGGAAATTTGAAAAAGTCATCCACAAAGTCAAAGAACAAATAATAAAACATATACCATTTTTCCAAACTTTTATTTCCTCATAAGGCTTCTATATTATATTGACGTATTTACGTGTTTTTCACAGATAAATATATTCATCTAATTTGTTTTATTATCTTATATTAAATTATCTCCCATGGCTTATTTTTCAGAGATAAATATATTCATCTACTTTGTTTTATTATCTTTTATTAAATTATCTCATATGGCTTATTTACACGCTCATAAAGAATGATGCACCATACTTCACATGATGGCGAAAACACATATTTTTTTAGTTATGAAACATGATCAAATTTGTTGGTTTCTTGCATGCAGAAGCAATTATGGATGATCAATGATTATTGTAGGCGAGGCTAAACATGTTTAAGCCCAATTATATTTTGTTACTAGGTGTAAAACTTTTACACCTAATGTATTATAAGGGTTAATTAAAAAAAATAAATATAAATGTGTAAATATTTAAGAACTTTAGATTTATAAGAAAATAAGAAAAATAATGAATTATTAAAATTGATTTTTTTTTTGTCTTTTAATTTTAAATAAATAAACAAAATAAACTAATAAGTTTTAATTTGAGAATTTTTAAATAAGAAGGTAAGTTCATTAATAAAATTAATATTCATTTATTATTATATTTATTGTAATTATTACATTAAAGTATTATCTGAAATTTATTAAATAGAAAAACTCATAAAATGATATATGGAAAATAAATTAATTTAAAATAACCATAAAATGACATTTTACAAATTGAATGAGTGTTTCATTTATTAAAGTAATTTTTTTTTTTTTAAATGTTTGTTTTGTTATAAACTTCTATGTGACAACTTATGCCATGTGACACAACTAAGCACTTCTTTAATCTAAAAATACAATTCATACCCTCAACTTTTATATTTAACTCTCCCCCAATCCCGTGATAAAAAGGACAATGAGATACTGATTATTATTCGATCTTCCATCGCCTTAAGGTACCACCTACCTAATCAAGCAACCAACAATATGCTTCCAATTTTCCCATCCCTTGAAATATAACTCACTTGTTTACATACAGCTTCATTATCTGTTTCTTAACTTTTAAAAATATTATGAATTTATCATCATCCTCATCTGTATATATATATTGTTGAATTTTGAATTTATTGTTAGATGCTTTGTTGGTTTTCTGTAAATTATTAAAAATAAAAACAATTCCCAGGTTTACAAAACATGAGGGATAACAATTTATAAACAAATATTTATTTTTAGAATTGAGTAGTCATTAACTTGAATGCCTACTTGTGATGCTAAGTTAATTAGACTACAAAAGAGCTCAACATATGATCTCAAAACCTCGTCATTACAAATAAATTACAAATTGCAATACATTTTAAACTTAAATTACTAGATTGTTCACAAAAATGACATTATTATTTAACAAGAAAACAAAAAAGTGTTTTTTGTCAGAAAAAAATATAGCTTATTGGAAGATATCGTTTAAAAGAAACAATTATTGCATCATATCGTTTTTAAAAAATAATTATTGGAAGATATGATTATAGAAATCCTTTATCAGTTCCAAAGTTATCTATTTGTATTTTGTTGATGCAAAAATAATAATGAAAGTGAAAACCAGTAAAAAATTTCATGTTTTGATGTTACTTTGTAGTTCACGACGGAAGCAATGCTAAAACACATGAAAAAATTATATGAGATTTCTGGATAAAAGATAATGTTTGGTTGTGAAGAGTTGCAAAACCATTTTATTCCTTCACTATATGGTGCTATAAAACCAACAATTGTATTTGTTCTGATCGCATTTATGTTAAATGATAATCATGCACCAAAAGTAATAGAGATTTTTAAAACCATTACTTTTGGTGCATGATTATCGTTTAACATACGAAGATGATGACACAACCACAATGAAATAAGTGGGAAGAAAAAAACGTTTGTTGGCTAAAACGCTACTTTTACAATTATAAATTACCATCCCAATAAATCAACTCCACCATCTCCATCATTTGTCATTGTCATTGTAGGATTTTACTAATTCTTCATTGTTAATGGTGTTACTTTCGTGAGATTAATAGAAATTGTTGTTGTATTTGTCAGTTTTTTTCAAAACTTTACTTTGATTTACCGCATTATGTGTATCTTTTTTAGGCTTACTGGCCATAATCTTGAAATCATTGCAATGGTAGTGTTTATCTTCGGATATGTTCTATATTATTAGTAATTTTATAAATTTTAACTGTTTAATTACAAATGTAAAACCACCTATTTTATAAAAATCATGACTTTATATAATGCAACATACATTTGAGTAATGATAAAAAAAACCCCAAAAAACATCAAAAATTGATTTGATACAAAACAAACAAAACATTTCAGTAATGAAAATAACATAAAAAATACAATACATAATTATAAATAAATAAATTAATATGATGGATGAAGTGTAATTTGCTAAAAATGACTAAAAGATGCTACAAAAAAGTTGGTTATAAATTGTGAAAAACTTCCTTATAAACATTTCAGTAATGAAAATAACATTGAATTTTTTTTTTTTTTTTTTGTGTCTACATCTTTACCACCCGCACTTTGATATGTGAATCATAATCAATCTCTTCAACGTTTTTGAGGTATACTTTATTACCTATATTCATTTCCTGCAATATAATACTATTAATGATTAAAAACAGTTATGAAACATCATATATTTATTAAATTCTATTAATTTAAACACAAATCATTTTGTTTACATTTTATATTGAAATCGGTGTTAGAGAAACATAAAAAAATTGGGATTCGACACTGAAAAAAGTATGAATCTTTGTTAAGTTTGTGTTTTTATATTGAAATCGATGTTGAAAAACATAAAAGGAATGGGATTCAACATTGAAAAATGTATGAATTTAAGTTTGTGTTTCAATAATTTAATTTCATTTGTTAAATTGCCTCGTAATAGTAGAAATATTGAAATTGTATTCCTCTTCCAAGTAACACATGTTAAAAATTAGGATTTGAATACCATAAATTTCCCAAAGGTTTGTAGTGTGTACAAAAATGGCCCTTATTTAACTTTTTTTTTTTTTTTTTTTTTTTAATATTGGATAAAATAGAAAAGTAGTTTTAAAATATATTTTTTTAATAGACACATTAACAGTTATACATTCAGAAAAAGTCACGTATATAGATACAAATATGCATAAAATACATTTCTATTGCCATTTGTATGAAAATATAACTAACATTTTGAAGTAAATACTTATTGTGAACAGATGTTAAGTATCCTCATTTTTTATTGCATATATATTATTTTATTCAGTAATTACTTTTTTTTAGATTGCAATAATATTATAGACTCATATAAGTTTAAAAAAATATAAAATTAAAGTACTTTTTTTTGGATAATAGAAAAAACAATAATTTGTCTATCATATCAATTATCGACTTTATCGACGCCAAATGTTATTAACACAACTTACGATATTATGTTTCTTTTTTTAGTTTTTTCTGTTAAAAATTACTTAACTTCCTAATCAATGTTTTAATAAACAAACAAAATTTTTATTCATTTTTTTTTTCAAAATTTAACAATTTGCAAATATTTGATTGGTCATGAGTGACCAACGTACAACTTTGAATATTAAAAAAGAATTATAATCAAGTATATTGCTATAAATGGAAGTTTTAATTAGTTTAAACAACATGTATGGCTCTTCACCTTTCTTTTTCAATTTATTTTTAAAAAATTCAATAAATATATATATTATTTTATATATACCTGCTGCTTGATCTTTTCCAGATTCTTGAGCAATTCTCTTTCTTCTGGCAGGGGATTCTGCAAGTAGTTCAGGCTGCTCCCTTTATTATTTTTTGTTTCCAATTTTCACCTAAAAAATATTATTCAGATTGGAAAAGAAACAAAACATGGGCTCATCACTTCAATCATGACATCCATTATTTGTAAGCTCTTATTTGCTTCTTGAATTTGGGCTTGTCCAACAAACAAAACATGATTATAAAAATTTAGAACTTCTTTTCTTTTTGACTTAATAAGTAATTTAATAGGCACATTATATATCGGTGTTTCATTTTTACTTGATGAGCTTCATGAGTTAAGCACTTAACCTTTACTTATTTTCCCTTCGTCTTTTACCTCGCCCTAAAACTTGCCTTTTAGAATGTAAGGGTAAAATAGGGCGAAAATATACCTTTCCCATTCCAGGAATCATTCCAAGAACACGAGACATGGAACCCATCCTTGCAACAACTCGAGTTTGCTTCAAGAAGTCATTGAAGTCAAATTTTGCACTCATGATCTTCTTCTGCAAATCTTCAGCAACTTCTTGTTTCATCTACACACCCAGAATTACTTCAATTCATCATTTTTACAAAGAAAAAAACACTCACAACTTCTTGTGCTTTCTCCACAAATGAGAGAACATCTCCCATGCCCAAGATCCTTCCTGCCATTCGATCTGGATAAAAGGGTTCAAGATCCTCCATCCTCTCTCCACGTCCCACAAGCTTAATTGGCTTTCCTGACACCTAATGTCACAAAATTAAACGAAATCTTATATCAAATAAACATCAATTGAGAAAAACAATGTTAAAGAAAGAGCAACCTCTTTAACACTCAGAGCTGCTCCACCTCTTGAATCCCCATCTAGCTTAGTTAGAATAGCATTAGTAATTCCAATTTCAAGGTTGAAAGTTGTCACTAAGGATGAAAATTATCACAAAGGTTAGTATGGTAAATTATTATATGTTTATATGTAATAATAAGTTATTTCAAAACACCTGCAGCTTCTTGCCCTGTCATCACATCCACAAGAAGCAAAACTTCTATGGGATTCAATGTTCTCTTCATATCTTTCAATTCATCTATCGTAAAGGGTGTTGTGTTAGATTAATGAAGAAACATGTATTCTCTAATATCTGAAATGATTAAAAAGACATGTCATATAATTATAGCCTCAAGCCTTCCTGTTGTATCCATTATAACCACATCTACATTCTTTTTTTTAGCCTCTTGAATACCTTGTCTAGCTATTTCTGCTGGTTTTACATCAGTCCCTACTGCATATACAGGAGCATCCACCTGTCACAAACTTATATCTATCAAAATTGAGTTTTAAGTGAACTTGAAAACTCATTGAGAAATATCAAACTTGTATAAATGTCAACTTCATACCTGTTTATCTGCAACAAAGATGTAAGATGAAAAATGGATTTGGGAAGAATAATATGATGAAGGTCGCAATTAAACTAAAACCATGGTATACCCGATTCATTGGGTGGAGGTGTCACCCTTAAGGTCGTTGAGGAGAAAAAGAGAAGAAGAAAATGATTGATATTGAAGATTAGGGGAAAATAAAGGTAATATACCTAAATTCGTGCCGATATTCAACATAATTCGTAAGGAAAAAACCGTAATTCAAATCAGAATCGTATAAAGTTTACTAAAGTGAACCATAATGAAATGTATTTTCATTATCCAATGATCCATCATAAAAGAACATCAATTCTTAATACTTGGAGATAGTTGTGGTGAAATAGGGTTTAGGGATTCATACCGACTTGAAAGAGACGACCTTTGGGCAAAAATATAGTAACGACAATGGAGAAATGAATATTATATATGTTACGATGGAGAAACAAAATCTGAATTTTCAGGAAGTTGACATAAATTTCGTAACCTATTTCGTCTCTGATGCCTCTACTTAGGTTTGAGAAGAGATGAACTTTCATCATGCACCATGGAGGAGTAGAGTGTCGTTATTGAACCTGCAATCAAGAAAACGAAGCCATTAGGGTTTCCATCGGTGCATACGGGGGAAAATGACTTAAAACCAACGAAGTTTTCAGACCGTTTAAAAAACCCAATCATGTTTTGTCTATTCAAAAAACCCAACAAACTTAACATTTTATCTAAAAAACCCAACTAAGTTACACTTTCTCGAAAGTCAAATAAGAGAAACAAATGACGTGGCTTATTACCGTATCGGAAAAATGACTTGTTAGACCAACGAAGTTTCCAAAACGTTTAAAAAACTCCAATCATGTTTTGACTGTTCAAAAAAAAACCCAACAAACTTAAACAAAACAAAATTGGAATTTTCTGAACGGTTTGAAACTTTGTTGGACTTTTTAGACAAAAGGTTAAGTTCGTTAGGTTTTTTTGAACAGATAAAACATAATTAAGGTTTTTTGAATGGTTTGGAAACTTCGTTGGGCTTTTAAGTCATTTTCCCGTGCATACTGATAAAGAAAATAACAATTGAGAAGACCAACAAATCAATCCTTTTATCTTGTGGATTTGTAGATACAGAGGGATTTGATTGTGTAAATTACAACCGTAAATTTAGGAAAGATTTAAAATTTCAATTTGAATTTGAAGATATAGCCGGAAACATGAATCGTGTAAAAAGAAATTAAAGGCAGCTTGGACATTCAGTTTAGTAAAAGTAGGGGGGAAATTTGATTTAGAGGGGCTTGGAGAATGCCACGTGGCAAAAATCTACTTATTTATTAGATTAGGGGATTTTGTTGTGTTTATGTATGTTTATTACATCACCATCATGCTTAATTTGTCATATATCAATGTTATCTGTATGCCTTATTGTGTTTTCTTCATTACACTCAAATGTATATTGTTTCGTACAAACTCATGTTTTTATAAAATACCTAAACATACAAAACGTAAATTGGACATTCATAATAGTGTATAAGTTAATTTTAAAATATTATTGACATAATTTCTATCTTTGTAAATTAATAAAAATTTTGCAATATTTGAATACTCATTATAATTTCGAATTGTGAATAATGTTTTTCTTTATCAACCCATAATATGTGAGTTGACAATTAGTGTTTTTTCTTTTGTTTACCATCTTGAGGATCCATCATATTTTCAAGATAAAGCTAACTTGATCCGTACAAATAAGGAAATCGATGTTATCCATGACTGCATGTTAGGATTGATGAAAGATAAATGAAAAAACTTATCTGATTTTAGATTCTTTATCTGAGACAGAGTCACCATATTGTTTCAAGGAATCAATCTAATCTCCAAATGTGTTTAATGGTTTTAAGGCAGGTGGAATTCCCAATCATAAAGTTACACAAAAAATAGATGTTCCAGTCATGTTACTTCGTAATATCGTTCAAACCAAATGTCTATACAATGGTACCAGATTAAAGAATGTTAGGATTAGTAGACACATCATTGATGCTTGAATTATATATGGTAGATTCTTCAACAGTACTACTTATATACCTCACATGATATTAACTCCATTTGATAAAAGAATCCGATTATATTTTTAGCTGAGACAATTCCCAGTAGCTGTTTGTTTTGCTAAGTCATTAACAAAAATCAAGGATAATCATTATCAAATGTTAGATTATACTTGCGTAGACATGTTTTCACTAATGGTCAATTATATGTCGTTGTTTCTTGCATCACATGTAAAAAGGCTTGAGGATACTCATATGTGACAAAGAAGTCCGTCCAAATAATAAAACAAAAATATTGTCTACAAAGAATTTCTTCAACGGTTATAAAAACTCAGACAACTTTTTATACATTTATATGTTTTTTATACGTTCCCCACGTTTTACGCGGGTCATAATCTAGTTTTATTATAAATTGAATTTGGCAATCTAAATCATTACATAAATTGTAACTTGGACAAGTATTCTCTTTGAGAAATTAAATATTTTCTTACTTTTCTTCCTATTTATCTTTCTACATATTTAAAATAATAACAAATGTATTAAAATATTATTAATATTATCAAAATATGATATTTATAACCATTTCTAGTGAGAAGAAAATAAAAAATAAAATAAAATAAATAAGTAAGAAGAAAATATAGAAGCATATTTAATTTCTCGGTCAAAAAGTGAAAATCAATTACTACTTTACTACTGGACATGTGTTAAAATTCACAATAATATTTGGATATTACCAATTGTACCAAATAGTGGACTAGTATTTAACGAACCTATTGAAAAAGTCAAAATTCACAATTACGTAAGCGACAATCAACATTCACAATTACGAAAACAATAATTAAAATTCACAATTACAAATCAGTATTTAGCAACCAAATTCACAGTTATTGAACTAGGATTAGCAAACAAAATTACTAATTCATTATTGCAAATGAGTATTTGGCAAACTAATACACACATTGACAATTACTTGGAAAACAAATTCACAATCACATATCGATTCAATCAATTTGGCAATTTTCAACAACATAAAACCATTCAAAATTTAATACAGGTAATATTATCATCAAAAGCAACAAAAAGTCAAAATCGTATATGTAAATTCCATCCAAACTTGGAACAGTTTGAACTCAAAAGTTACATCAGTGCCTATCGGGATTGAGTTATCAAAAAACCAAATACTTCAATCCCAAATCGAAAATCAAAGACAGGGGTATTGAGAATTTCAAGTAAATAATCACCAATCAAAATCTAAAATCAAGAAGCTGATTACTAATCATAATCATTAATTTCAAGACTCAAAGAAACCGAAAAATGAAAACGGGAAATCAAAGTCTAATAAACCGATAAATAATTTGATTTTTTTACCAATATATTCAGGATTTCAATGATGGGGAGTGACGGAGAGTCTGATTCCGTCTCCTCATTTTCTGAAATGGTGTGAAGTCTCCTCGTCTTCTGAAAACTTTCCGTGTGTGTTCTATGTTGCGATCCCTCATGCCTTGCTGCCATAATGGGTGAGCAAAAAACCCTGTTCATGAACCGAACCGGCCTCCGATCCGAAAACCGGTTTAGCCCTGAACCGGTGCAGCCATGAACTGAACCCCTCATGAACCGAACTGCTAGTTTTAGCCGAATCGCCATTCCAACTGTTGGGACTGGTTTACGTCGAATCGGTTTACCGACCCGGTTTTGGACCGTTTTTTCAAGAAGGGATATTCTGTCCGTTTTTTTGTCCTAGTCTACCGGCTATATAGCTGTTTATGGCTGTTGTAATCTCGTTTTTAGGTCCATTTTTGCCATATTCACCAATATTTGATAGTTTAAATAGCTAGTAGATGTATTAGGTTAACCAAACCTCAAAAAACCTCTCTTAGATAAAAAAAAAACGCTCTTAGTTCAAGCGATGGATTTGACTTTCATTGGTATTGGAGATTCATTAAAGAATCTTACCGTTCATCAAAGAAACAAACAGAAATCCCGCTATTTGGGGCAATTTTGATTTGCGTGTAATGTCGAGCGGTCCAAGAAAAGCACGATGTAAGAAATGTGGAAACTTGCAAAAAATGAAATGATTTTAGGATTTCAATCTTTAGAAACCGGTGTGAATTTAACTTGTGATGTTTGGATGACTCCTCATGGTTCACCGAATGTGTAACTTTCTGTTACCGCTCATTGGATTAATCAAAATAACTGGGTAATGATGAAGTGTATGATTACGTTTGAATTGTTTGAATATCCGCACACCGTGGAAATTTATTTAAAATTTTAGATTGTGTGACCAAAACTTATAAACTTGAAGGAAAAAAATTCTATATCTTTTGATAATGCATCAAACAACACCATCGTGGTTTGACAACTAAAACTAAAATTTAAACCAATTTGGGATGATGTTTTTTTTTTCATAGTCGATGTGTTGCACATATTATTAATTTGGTTGTGCAAAATGCACTAACTAACATTGAAACTATAAAAGATGGTTTCAAAGACATGCTAAGAGATATTTTTAGTTCTAGTAATGCTCGATATCATAATTATATGCAATTTTGTGTCGATGCGAATGCCCTTTTTTTAGGTCCAAATGGGGAAAATAATACCGAGTGAAACTCCACTTGCAAAATGTTGAATATGCCTTACGTAAAAAAGATACTTTAAAAATGTTTTATGACAACCTTGCAGACCCAATAAGGTTACGGTTTATCCGAAATCAAGTTGGGATACCATCAAACTTGTTACATACATGCTTGAAGTTTTAAAAAAAACAACTACTTTTTTATCGGGAGTTTATTATCCAACAAATTGTTTAGTTTTAAACCAATTTTTTTTAATGTGTGCGAAAATAAGTGAGTTTGAAATGAGAAGAATAATGTTTTCTAATATGATGAAATCGATGAAAATTCCAAACGAGCTCGGTCTAACACCCCTAGTAGCGAGCTCGGAAGGCACATTGGTTCCAATTTATTGTCACAAATGAGTGTTCAAGAATTTGAAATTTTTGATATTTTAGCTTTGTGGAAAGAAAAGAAAACTCAATTTCCGATTCTAGCCGCGATGACACGTAATCTACTAAGCTCTCAAGCTTATACGATAGCTTTGGAATCAACTTTTTCTATTAGTCGCAAGGTTATATCACCAAGAAGAACAAAACTCACCCCTTTGTCGGTGGAAGTGTGCATTTGCTTGAAATATTACCTTGATGGCGTGGAACGGATACAAGACATTGAAGTACTAGAAGACAAATCGTTTCATGCCGAACCATGAGTACATGAGGAAGAAGTAGCGATGAGAATGTCGGTGTCACTCACCCTAGAAGAGCTCGAGTAAAAGAGAGGATTGCGCAACGACATGACGATTGGCGGATGATGAATACATACAAACAAAAATGACTACGGTCTTGGAATGAAGACTACGACGACAACGATGTTTTATATTTTATGTCTTTATTTATATTTGAAGATATATTAGTTTGACAATTTGGATGTTTTGTGTTTTTATGTTTACTATGTATTTCCAATATCAAAAACAAAAAAAATGTAAAAAAAAGATTGAAAATTGCTCAAGAAACGTGTTGATTCAAATTGAACAATTTTGTGCACACATATACACAAACATCAAATTAAAAAAAAAAAATCAAATCTTTGTCTATGTTTGATAAACAAGAAACCAAAATGAAAGAAAGATGCATCATAATTCATATGTATGGACGTGTATGTATAATGCATAAGGCATTTAGCGTTCTCAATTCTTAACCAAACTAACTAACTATGGAAAGTTTTTTTTTTTTTTTTTTTTGGATGAACCACGAACCAATAAATTTTAGTCCAAACAAAAACCCTCTTACTTTACACTTATTAGCCCCCCCCAAAATAAAAAAAAAAAAAATAAAAAAATAAAAAAAAAAAAAAATCTAATGCAGCGAACCGGTCTGAACCGGTTTTTCGTGATCCGTTTCGGTAAAACCGTTTCTATGTGGAATAAAATTTTGGCCCAAATAATTCCTAAACCTATAAGAGATGGACCCGTTTTAAGTTCTTGCCCTCAGTCATGGGCCATGTCCCCCTACGCGTATGTTTGTCGGTTTCAATTATCTGCTTTAAATCCAACTTTCAACATCTAGAAAATGATCCAGTTAAATTCAATGACATCAAACCAAATTGGTTTTGATAAAATTGATTATCAACAAAATTGTTTACCGAAGCGCCTTTAGTCTAGCAGTAACAAATGATTCTTACAAATAAAATATCATAGGTTCAAGTATGTAGCATTTAAGAACATGCTAGTTCGTCCTTTAAAAAAAACAACAAAATCGGTTTTCGGACCGTATCTAAATCCAAATCGAACAATGGGGACATAGATGATATTTACTAATATGATAGCATGTCGATTAAAAAAAATCATAAAAAAATAGTTTTCAGTCTGTCTTTGAATCCAAATCGAACAATGGGTTTTGTTGAGTAGCTCTTACTAATTATCAATTTGCTATGGACTTTTTTTTTTTACAATTGGATATTATAAAAACGAACTAACAAGAGGTAACAAATAATAAAACAATTGCAAGGATGGCTTTAAGTGAGTTTGTAAGTAATTCCAATTAAAAATAAATTAGTATTCTATCACTTGACGCATTGTGGTGGAGGACTCTTTTGCAAAGTGGACCACAAAAATATAAAAATAAAGTTTTCATCCAAACAATTATACATGGAGAAGACGTAAAAAAAAATAAGGTTTGAAAGTGTATATTGTTTAGTACAATACCATAAATGAAAATTAATCAAGAAAGTTTAATAATATTGAGTAATATACTTTTTTTTAGAAAAAACATATATTAAAAAAATAATAACAAGGAACTAGAAGAAAAGAAAAACAATTACAACAAGTTTATAGGTTGTTGAAGCCAACAAACCGAATTTTTGGAACAATTAAAATTCTTATTACAGACATCTAGCATCCTAACATATAAACCATGGACCGATATTGGTGCTTTCGACCCGCTAAACCTAGTGTGGAGACTCACCTTGTATTGCCGAAGCACACAGACGATCCCTGGTTGCTGGCTAACAGATCCCCGAACTATCAAAATCATAACAATACCCAATAAACACTTGGGTTCCAATCCTTAACCATAAATCCATATTCGGGGTGAAAAGACCATTTTACCCATAACCTAGCTTGGACCAAGGCTTTAGGCCCAAACTAAACAATCTAAAAAGGCCCAAGTACCAAAAACCACCCAAGGCCCAAACCATGGCCCAATTTTCCAAATTAGGCCTGAACCCATCGTAGGCCTTCTCATAATAATTAAATGCCCAAAACCTGATTGCCCAACAGGTCCCAAGAAATCTAAGCCCAAAAGAGGGCCCAAACCGAAGCCCAACATGTAGGAATCCTTCTTTGCTGAGTACGTGGGGCGTACCCATCTGTACGCTAAGCATACTAGCTGATTGGCTTGTACGTTGTGCGTACAAACTTGTACACCTAACGTACGCACCTAATAAGCCCAATCCTTCCGTTAAGCTCTTAATGCATAATTCCAGAAGTCTAAACCACAGATCTGAGTCCAATAAATGTCTAGAACCATAAAGCCACTAACTTGGTGACTTTGCATGCACCAAGAAGACCTAACCTCAAAATATAGCATTCAACCATCATGAAAAGGACCCAAAATCATGCGTGGATGGGTTTACACCCTAAAGGTGCCAACTTTATGGACCTTGAACCTCAGAAACACCAAGAGGGGGAAAATACCATCATAAAGGATAACGAACGATTTCTAAGGTTTTGAAAACTTGGAGGTTGGTAAAGAGGCCAACCCTAAAGACTTAATGAGCTTATATAGGGCACACCATCAAAATTAGGGTTTTCATTAAGATTCACGTACGCCCCGCGTACGTGCCCAAAGGTACGATCATGCCTCACATCAGTATGCCCCGCGTACATCGTTTTACGCTCGATGTACCAGGTTTAGAACTAGTACGCCATGCGTACCCATATGTACGCCCCATGTACTGCTTAACCCCTTAACCCTAATATACTCTGAAGGCCATAACTTCCTCATTATCAATCTGATTCCGACGATCCTTATATCCATGAAAAGGTAACAAGAATCTCTATGCCTAAATCAGCTCATACCCGACTTACAATATCTCAAACATACCTCCAATTTCCATAAAAGCCCGAGCTAACATATTACCAATGTCACACCCCCGAACCAGACGGCGGAAACGTCCGGGGACTTGCGCGTGACTTCATCTTGAAATATCATTACAGTGAATATAATTGAAACATAACATCATCATCATCACACATGTAATATTACAACATTCATTGTTTACATCGAGTATTGTATTTGAATATTACATGCCAAAATAGTAAGAGTATGATGAAACAAAATATCACACATTATCCATTAGTTTGTTTTGTTCATCCTGCTTCAACGGTATCCTGAGAATACAAGTTATTTTGAAAACGGTCAACATAAAAATATTGGTGAGTTCATAAGCATGTTTGTGAAAATGATTTGTATAACTTTGAAAACCGCCAGAAAATACGATATTTTCTGAAAACTGTTTAGTGTGTTTGTGTTAGATCTTGTATTAATGCATGTATGCTATTGTTTATTTGACTAAAAAGGTAAAGAGAATGTA